AGAATTTTTAATATTAAAAATTTACATACCTTTAAATCAGATACTAAACATGCATCCAATTTTTTTTCTCGATGTGCACAAAAATCTTTATATACTGACGCTTTAACATCATTTAACATATTACTGCAGTAATAAATAAAATGATATATAGTAAAATATATAGTAAAATGCACATTTTCATTTACGTTTGTGTGATTTGAATTCCATTACAAACCTTGGTTCGCCCTCCCGTTTTTCCTCTTCTCTGCCCCAGACTTTCAAAAAATAAAGTAGCAGGTAACCTATCCTTGGTTGAACGTTCTGTATTTCTGCAAGTACCCGAGCTAAAAGTTTCCGCCTATTGTCCTCTTCTTTACACAACTGAAACTGATTTCGAAACATTACAAACAACGGTGTGCTTATACTATCAGTCAAGGCTTCTTCATTCAAATTTTCTGTTGGAAATATTTGGGATGTAATTTGTGAGGATAAGATAGTTGATATGCAAGAAGCTAATGCTGGTATAGTTTCTGCATCTATTTCATCTTCTATAACCATTTGTACTATCCTTTCCATCGTTTGACACCTCACTTCATTGTCTGTTTCACTGTGTAAACTTTCTACAGCAGTCCTTAACTCCTCTGGTTCTAAAATTAAATTTAACTGAGATGTAATATCTTCTTTCTTCACTACACAATTTGCATTCTTCTGTTCGTTTTTCAACTTCACATTTGCCAATGGAACATCTTCTTCATCTTCCTCTTCTACTTTAGTCACTATCCTATAAATAGTTAAATATTCTTTAATATAATTATATTTTTAAGGGAAATATATTTAAAATACTATACATACTATACAATACTGAACAAAAGGTATAAATGTAAATCAGAATTAACCTCAATGGCATGTCCTCTTCTTCATCACTAAAAGCTGGTTCTGGGTCTTGATTTACATGATTATTTTCAACTAGTGTATTTGCAGCATTTTCCAGTGTAGCCCCTGGTGTAAGATCCTTATTAAGTTCCTCCATTTTACCTGAATATACAGGAACCTTATTTCCTGCTTAAAAACATCATGCAAAAACCAAAGTTAGTAAGCAATGAATGTGCTATAAGCTCGAAGGAAAGGTGGACAATAAAATTTATTAAAAGAAAAGACAAGAAAGTGAGTTCTAAATGATATTTAAAAGAGAATTTTCTGTTAAAACCACGATACATAAATCAAAATTAATATATAAATATTTTTCTATGCTCAATATGTACATTTCAATATCTATATTCACGTACTATATTCACATATTTTTAAAACTTTAAATATGTACATGATATGAAAAATAGCATGAATTTTATGATGCGATGAATACTTAAAAATTTATACATGTGCGATAGTAAGCTTTTTTTAGTGCTTTGATTTCGAATGATCTATATAAACTAAACATGCAATATAATGTAATAATTTTACCAGGATCTGCATTAGGCGGTAAACAGAATTCTTTGAACGTTTCTCTTATTTTGCTTCTTAATTCACGATCTAACTTGGGACTATCGAACAATGGATAAAGACTTGGCAAAACCCGCTTCTCCAAAATTTGTCTCAATGATGAGAAGATTCCATTCCGTACTTTTTCGGTTAAAGGTGGATAGAAATTTGGTATTATCTTGAAACAAAAATTACATTTCAATAATTTTAAGACTATAATAAGTTGTTAAGATTTATATAATTACTTACCCTGCATAAAAAATCTAACAATGTGGCAGTGACTGGTGGATGGGATCTCATGGAATTGTGCATGACAAGAATTGCAGGTTCAATGTTCATTATATTATCTTTTTCAGGTTCAAAAAACAACCAGTCATAAAATAAAGCCAGTTTAGCATTGCTTGCAGCCACAGTTGATGTGCAAGTCGTAAATAACCATCCTATTACTGCCCATCGCGGTATAATATCTGAACACAATAATTCATTTGTTGGATGAATAACACCAACAATGAATCGTATAAGATCACATCTTAAAGATTGTGATTCTGGGGTAGCCAGGTACTGCCTTTGAAACCAATCTTGATACCGTTTATGATTACCAAAACGGACTTGACTGGTTAAAAATACTAATTTTCTTTCCATATCTGGTGTAAGCCTGGATTGTAGAAACCTTCTAGAAGTCCTAGTCTGTAAAAGTTGAAGGACACCATTGAAATTTGGACAAAGAGACTTTGGATTCAGAAGCATGTCCTTCCAAAGTGCCTCAAATTCAGTTATACGTGCAACATTTTGTAACAAGCGTACCAAATCCCTGCAAACATTAATTATTTTGTTTATTACATCATGTGTTGTACTACAAATACACAAATGAAAAAGATCTCATATTATTTACCTTCCAATAACTAAACAATCAACCATACGTTCTCTTATTAAAGAAACAGTAAAAGTAACTTCTTTTTGACGTAAGCCAGACAAATGAGGTGCATTGTGATCTTCTATTAATCGTAAATAGGTATAAACAATGGATGCTACTAGAAAAGGAAATTTGTCCAGCCAAGGTCGATTTTCTTGAAAAATGTCTAAAAGTGCATCAACTAAAAACAAATTTCGTGGTGAAATATCACCACCAGCTGCATGCCTCAATAGACTTAAACAAAGGTTATCCACACTAGCTACACTGGTTCTTATCATCTCTCTCAATAACCATAATAACTGACTTCTAGTCACATCATTCAATCGTAGGTATCTTTCAAGTACTAATTGATTAAGATGTCCTAACACAATTGCAAGACCATCCCGTGTAATTAATGTCAAGTCCCTGTAACTTTTTGCAGCATTTTGAGGATCTGTCAAAATGACTACCAACAATCCTAATGAAACTTCTTCGTGTGTTTTGTCCTTGCACACAGCATTGTTTAACGTATCATGGGCTTCCTTTTCAGAGAGTCCTGTAGTTAGATTTTGTAGTACTGTATAACATCTTTCAAATTTCTGAAAAAAAAGAAGTTCTATAATATCCTACCATAATAAAACATCTTCTAAATATAGCGCAGGATAGACGTGAAAAGATACAAAAAGTGTAACCTATTTGAAGTTTGTACTTCATATCAACAAATTATGAAATTAAGAACATCTTGATATTATTAATAGTAGCAATTAATAATGTTAAATTTGATAACACGTATCATTGATTGCATCATTCTTATTGGACTCTTCTTATTGGTTGAATGTTGTCGAGTAATTAAGCGAATTATTATGCAAATGATTCAAATATTGCCGCGAAGACGCGTGGTTCGACGTGTGGCGCCGCACGGTCAGCGACGTGCGCGACCGTCGCAACAATGGCGGAACCCCTAGTACTCGATACGTATCCAGTGACTATTTGAAATATTTATGTTACCTCTTCCAAGTCGTCCTTATTCTCTATGCAACTCGTGCTGAGTAGCCGGGACGCGGGAGTTTTCGTTTGTTCCATAGCTGCTGACTGGCCCACGGCCGTCCCGTGAACGTTATTCCAGGCCCTGTCGAGCCCTCAGCCCTCAGCCCTGTGCCCCTGGCCGCTTGTGCTCGCCTCCGTGCATCGTGATCGTCTCACTGCCTGTTCGCTCTCTATCTTTCTCTCTCTCTCTCTCTCACCTTCCCCACTCTTCGTGTCTCGCGCGGTCTCTTCACTCTGTTTATTCCTTACCACGGACCTCCCCGACTCCCTGAACCGTTCCGATGCGATTGCGCATTGATACATGCGTCTCGTCGCTTCTCGGCCTCGCTTCGTGACGTGATCGCTCCCCACCACTATAGCCAATCACCGGCCTGACCAATCGTGACCCAACAACCCGTACACACTGATGGACATTGGTGGGGATACCGTAGAAAAGTAGTGCGGCCAGCAGGAACGTATTTATTAAAGGTGCGCGTCCAGAGGACGGTCACCTCAAAGTGTCTCTGAACCTTCAGTGTACTCGCTGTGCCAAACTTCGTGCAAAAGGGTTTAGTCTTCCCGCGTTCAAACGGTTCGTTTCAGGTGTCACATGATCGTGTATTGATTTTTTTTTTTTCTTGTATAGACTATAGAACTGTACGTACGCACATATTCATACGTATTACAAATAATTCGTTATGCGAAAACACACTGATGTTTATTGTTATTGGAATAGATGTAACATTAATATGCACGTGCATATATTATAGTTGTTTCAGTAGTATTACAATTGTGTAAAAAGATTCTCTGTTCTTTAGATCATTAAATTACGAAGTACAAAAATTAATGTAGCAAACTGTTGCATACATTTGAAAGTTTCAGTTCAGCAATGAGAAAGATTTATGATAAAAAAAAATACATATTTGCATGTGCGATTGTCGCAATAGCTAATTATAGAAAGAAGTTGAATAAATTAACATATCATTAAAATAAAACGAATAATAAATTTGTAAGAAGTAAGGATGCTACCAAGAAGAGGTCATTGGCATCTAAGACTTCAAATTACGTTGAACTTTACAAAAATAACTTGATCATTGTTGTAAGGTCCGAAACCATTAAAAATTACATTTTGCGAATAATATCGTGCATGATCATTTTTTTACAAATATGTATATTTTAAGAAATAAGCATAACATAGGACGGATGAAAATTGTTCAGATCGGGGCATTTAAATCTACCATTTACTTTGTTGCGTAGATACGTCCCTACGGCCTGTAACTACGCATGCGCGTATCCGTACGCACGGAAAGGCTACTCGACTAATCGCATTGGATTCCCCGGCCACGCTTCCCGCTCTTCGTTTATTCGTGTTACTTAGTGAACGTCTTTACGTTCTGTTCCGAATTCCTGTCATTTTGTGGTTACTCGAACGTCACGCGATAGCTTTGGATTTTGCGCATTAGTTACAAACGTACACATTAAAAACATCCTGCTGGGTGTATAAAATTTCTGCGCATCGGTACGTTCGTGCAACGTCAACCTAACCCCAATAAGTGCAGGAATCGCGAACCTGACATTCCGTTACGATGTATAAGGCTTTCCTTCAGGTATCCGTGGTGCGAAAACAACCCCGTTTTCCTTTCTCTTTCTTGTTCTAATATACACTGCATACTCATTTTCATCTCCTATTACACGATTGTAATAATTTTTCGTTAATTGGTTATGATTCAATTTCGTATAGATGTTGAAACTCTCTGTTGCTTTGATTGCATAAATATTAATAAATAAATAGGATCAGAAAACAGCTACAATATTTTTTTACTGTTTCAACTTAGTATTTGAACGATATATTTTGATTCGTTAATAAATAGTAGTAAAAGGTAATTAGAATTGCAACTACTAATGTATGGAATGTTTAAACGTCTTTCCGTTCAATACTAAAATGATTGTAGGAGCGAAAATTTCGTTAAACAAAAAATATATTGTTATATCTTGGTTTAATTCGTTATAGTCGTGCGTATAATTCAAATATATTACTTTCGTATCTCGTATTTTATAATATTTCGTTTGTAATACAGACATAAAAATAAATAGGGGAAAAAAAAGACGCATATCGTCAGTTTTTTTTGGTCATAAAAATGTTCATATTTTTTATATCATTTAATCACCGTGATGCGTACCCTTCGAAGGTTCTGAGAGAAATAGCCCTGCTTCAACGTTTTACAATGCTTACCTACTTGTAAACGTCAATGAACGCATGCGCAAAAGAGAATACCGTGAATAGTCTCTCATCAGGATCGTATATAAAATGGAGACACAAGAGAAACATATCCAAAAATATAATAAAAAATAATTTATATGAATTTCATATTGGTAAAATTTCCCCTTTATCAAGACTAATTTGTTCAAATAGTTTTATTGTTCCACATAAAGAGTCGAGAATATATTAAACGTTTTAAGAAATGAAAGAATGTTATTCTATAACAGGCTTATTGATTTTTTAATATTCTATAAAAACCTATTCCTTGGTAGATTAATATTATTTTTTTAAAAAAAAATTATAATTTATCTTACCGTTATACTCGGTTGATCTATCTCATTAACTTTCTGGCGCTATCTTTCTGGATCTATCGCGCCGTTATATTACTTTTTATAATCATGTATAAGCATGTACAAATTTGATATTTATTGAAAAAGATGTATGCTAATAATTTTGGTATATAATATTCTACAATTCATTCAAAAGTTTTATATTAACAGAAATATCATACATATTCATAGTTGGAAAATTTGAAATCGTAAATAATTAGAAAGAGTATGTACTTATTGTTAGTATGTAACAGCTTGTACATTTGAATTTACACTTAACGAGCTCTTAGTGATCTACGGATAACTAAGTCTCGAGCACCTGGCGCACAGCCAATGCGGTTGAGAAAAAAAACGTGTTATCACTAACATCTTTCATTAAGACAAATACATAGCATGTACCCCTTTGTATTTCAATTTGTATAATTTAAATGTATTACAACTTTATTTGAAGAATTCATACAAATAATTTTTGTACAATATTGTTAAATATATATACAATATACTTATTATATTTGATATAAAAACTTTGTTTTTTTATATTCTCTTTCAATCTTGTCAACAATTTTATAAGTTTATACGGAAATGTATTCTCATGTATATAAAATTTATATAATTGAATAATGTATATTGTTAATAATTAATTTAGAAGAGATTTAACATGCATTTACTAGGATATTGATTCGTTACATTTGAATTAATATGATAATTCAGTTACATAAACGAATTATAAATGCAAGAGTTTAATATAATGTTTGCCGTACTGAATACGATATATGTGTTGCGATTAAGTAAAATATGTTCATTAATATGTAATTTTTAATTACATATCTTTATGAAAACGTATTGGGATGTTAGTGACAATGCGTAAATATTTAAGACGATCAATTTTAACATGACATATAAGAAAATAATCAATTTGTAAATGATCATAACATAGTGTAATAATTTATAATAGTTTAGCTTACGCAAAAATGTGAACAAATTTCAATACTTTAATCTAATCTATTTCAAATCAGTTTAAACATTTGCACAGAATATTTAAATATTCATGCTTGTAAATGTTACTATTATATATTCATGTTTTTCTATATGTACTTCTATGTGTAATCTATGTACTTGAGTTTTTATGTAGAAGTAATTTAATGAGATTAAAAATTCTTTGATATTAACAAGAGTACTAAACTACTAAAATCATTGAAGTGAAAGATACGTATAAGTATTTGGAAAATTTGATATCATCAATTGTATATTAACTTATGCACATTCATACTTGCAATAAAGGCATAGTATATAATGTATATAAAATTTAAAATTTAAATAATGTTTTATTGCATAAGTATATAAGTCTATATATTAAGAACTTCTGTTTTCTTATTAGTTATTGTATCTTACCAGAAATTAAATACTTTTTAGGTAATTGATTATGTTTAATTTTTTTTTATCGTGAGTGTAAAAAATTGAATGTAAGCAATCATTCTTTTGATTAAATAGAATATTCGTTGTATGCATCAGGTGTATGATTAAATTATTTGATCCTACAATATAACCATAATGAAGTTCTGAATAGCATAAATTACTGTTTGCCAGTTTTTATCAAAATTGAAACATTTCATATTTTTAAATATTTATATTGAAGTTTTTCTTATGATTTGGAATTTAGAAACATTTGTACTACATAACTTACCAGTAATTATATTATCATCGCAGCCTTATTTCTTGTGATATATCTCAAATTACAAATTAAATTTATAACTAATGGATTCAATTGTTAAGTAGGAAATGTTCAATATAAAAATTTCTAAACATAAAATACAAGTAAATACAGAAAAATTCTGGCACATGGTCATCATTGTCAGTATTTTAACATCATTTAACAATAACTGAAGTATAAAATATAAACAGTATCAATATAATCTTCAGTTAATGTAATAACATTGATCATAAACATTTAGTGCTTTCCTGAGATGCTAAAAAGTGTCTGAATTTAAAATTTACATAAAAACGCATGTCTAATAATAACATTAGTATCAAAGCACACTATGATTTTCCTTTTTTGAATCTTTGTCGTGCTTGAGCTTTACTGTATTTTGGATGTTTCTCTTTTTCGTTATTCATCTCAGTTTCAACATCATCAAATTCTTCTTTATTATCACCAAAGAGATCCACTGGAGGTTCCAAAAGTGATTTTCTTTGACATTTTACAAAATACCGGAACCCCTTTGCAATGCCAAAACCCAGCATTGCTATAGACATTGTTAATAAGGCCATTAAAAGAGGATGCTGTATACGACGAAAAAGAATAAAATAACCATTATAAGTATCTGTCTCAAAATCAATTTCTAAAAATATTGAACCAATACATATGTATATATATGTATACCGTTAATGTAGGTTTATTTGTAAAAACATAGTCAGCAATTACAACTATTACTCCAAGTATGATACCAACACCAGCACCGAGCCAAGGTATCTGTTGATCAGCTACAAAATAATTCATCATATTAAAATTTCACATGAAACATTTTCATTATGCTTATCTGGATATAATGAATCTAATACCTCGTTTGTCTTTAATTAGTAATTGTGATACTCTGTTCATTGCCTCTAAAATTGTTGGTTCATTTGGTTGAAGAGATAAAGCTTTATTGTAAGATTGAAGTGCTTCACTGAGGCGAAAAGTTTGTGATTCCACTTCAGCTTTCCTGAAATAACCCTATACAAAAAATTTAAACATGCTACAATTTCATTTTAACATAGCATAAATAATTTATAAAAGCATCATCATAATAAATACACATATACCTTGGTCCAATCAGGTTTTAATTGAATTGTCATTAATGCATCTTCCATTGCAAAATGATATTGCTGTAGTTTTAAAAACACGAATGATCGATTACTGTACAAGGAATAATTCTGTGGATCTAGTTTAATGGCATGAGTGTAATGGAACATAGCCTCTTCATACTTTTGTTCTTTCACACATGCGTTTCCACGTTCTTTGAGGTTTTGTACCTTCAATGAAATTGGGATAATGTAATAAGTGGCATTACTGCAAAGTTAATTTCAGATTCTTTCACACAACGTGATATCATTAATGTAAGTCAATAGTCTGCATTATTTCATATTATATCTTACGCTTCGATCATCAAACAGTAAGTATAATTATATAGTCAACAAATGAAGAAGAGTGTAAATATTAAAATATAGATAGGAAACCTACAAATGCTTACCTCTGCTTCCCGTGTGTTCGACATAATTTACGATTATTATGGCGATCAGTTACATAAAATAAGTTTCACAAATTATTATTTAATGTATGCGTCATCATGTCTTTCAGATAATTTTTGAGTAACTTGCTATCTATAAAAAAATAGTCAACAACAAGAAGCAGTCGAAACACTTGCCATGTCTCTTTCACCGGTAAGTACATGCGCAGTAAGCATTGACATGTGATACTGCACTGCGCATAGTCCTCCACCCGTCGTCAGCTGTACCGTGTCGAAAGTGTTTAAGTAAGACAAGAACAGACATTGACTCTGCTCTTTTTGATACTCGACGTTCTTCCATTGGATATTGTTGAAGAGACGCGTCTGTGTATAAAAATGGGCTAACGATTTTCACAAAATGAGCACAACTTCTCGACACGATGTTAAAAATATAAATTTGCTTATGTACATTTATATGACGCTTCATAATTAGTAAAAAAAAAATTAAGTATAAAAAAGACGTATTCAAATGATGCAAACGTTCAACAGCGAAAGAATAGAGGAAAGATATGAAAGAAAATAGAGACTCTTTTTTTTTATCATCATTTTAATGTTTGAAATTCTCCATTTCATACAAATTAAGTGAGGGCATTATAATACAAACTTAAAATATATACATCGATATTTCATGAAACTTCTCAAATAACTATGCAACTCATCCGTTTAATCCACAATCTATAGATCTCTTTCCGTTATTATTGATTTACTTATTTATTTACTTTTTTTTTTTGTATGCTTTTCTGTTTCGCTTGAACCTACTTCGTGTATACTGTGCAACGAAACTGGCAAGTCATTTGAATAAATATTTTTTTTTTTTGTTTTTTTCGTACTTTTTTTTTTCCTTAATTAGCCGCCAAAATGAATCACGGCCGATCTGTTGTATTTCTTAAATGAAAAGCGTCCATAGTGTTTAAATGGAGAATCGAATACGAGCTCAGTTTTGTCAGTTCGACGAATGGAACTTGAGGTTTCTCGACGTTTACAACGAGATTAAACCTCTATTCGGATTATCGACGAAACGACAGGCACTAATAGCGAGTGTCGAAATTATTTTATTCGGATCGATTGTTTATATCGATCGTCCGTTAGCAACGATCTTTAACCGATCTGGTTTCGGATAGATTTTTTTCTCTTTTTCTTCGATGACTTAACCGTTTGCTTGTTCGTTTTTCTCTTTTTTTTTTTTACTAATACATATACACCGTTATGATATCTTCGACCAAGAATAAATCTTAGCGAAAATAAATAGTGGCCATTTCTCGAGTACAATATGAAAAAAGGATCGATATAGCGGACAGATTAAGAACTCTTACGATTATTGGAGGACAAATGGCAAACATTTGCTTTCTCGCCAAGTTGCTGTACTTATTATTGCCCAAGTGGGACGGAAGTCACGGATGATTTGGCACTCCTGTTTTAATTTTCTAACGCCTATTCACCTGCGCGTTCCTTTTCTTTTCACTTTTCCCTCTCTCTCTCTCTCTCTCTCTTTCTCTCTCTCTCTCTCTGCGTGCTTCTTTCCCTTCTATTTTTCTATTCCATTACATCTTTCAATATATATATATATATATATATAT